GTGTTTGAATGGGACGCCGATGCCGCTTCCCCCAGAGCGTGCTGAAGAGCGGTTTGTTGGGCAGCGGCGTCGGCCGGGCCGGTGTCCATGGCGGCACTTGGGCTACCGAGGCGCGGCTGCTTGAGTGCGCTCTTCGGCGGCGGTGTGGCCAGGGCGTAAGACTCGGGACGTTCAGGTCGCTTCGGTCCTCCACCAGTCGGTCGCACAGAGCTGCCACCTGCAGAACCATCAGATCGTGGCTGCAGAACGTCCTTCACGGGCGTGCCGGGCGCACGAGTTGCCATAATTGATTCCCAATGTGTGCGCAGAAAGAAGCAGGAGGAAGTAAGAATGGATGTAAAGTGTGAAGAGATTGGATTGCACAATATGGGAACTTGAATCTTGAGCCGGATACGAAGCCGGACTGAAAAGCTACATTGCGCTGGATGGCCAGAGAAACCGTTGAGAAAACCTGCGTACTAAAAAGGCCCCGCGCGCCCATTGAACCACCCGTGGGTTGCATCTTGCTCCTGAGGAAGGGAGAAGAGAAGCATGCGGGGAAGGGAAGGAGATCCTCACAGTAGACGAAGAACAAAACTGCATAAACATAAACATTCGACGGTCCGCGCAGGGGTCTGCGCTGGACCCCCTCCAGCGCGGAGCGCGCCAGGGGCGGCGCCGGAGGCGCCGCCAGTGGGGGGCCCAGCGCCCCAGCGCGAATCCAAGAAATCCGCGCGGGGCGCCCAAAGTTTACGTTTATGATATTTTTCCTCTACACAAATTAGAGGCGGTCGGGGGTCTGAACTGGTTGGGACCCCAAAGTCTCGTCCGGGAGCGGGGGGCATGAGGCCAAAGCCGCTCGACATCGGTCCCAGGACGCCTCCAGGGATCCATCCCTGGTTCACGTTTCCCGCAGGGCTCAGTTTTTGACGGTCTCGGGCAGACCCCCAGCCCGCTCCAAGTCATCGTAATAACTATGTACTTCTGGGCGCCCCACTGGCAACCTCTTGCCACGATTGATTTTGAGGCGCGACCGGGAACCGAGGGACATGGGGGGGGCAATTGACTGGAGTGAGAAGGGCGGGGGAGCAGGGAGGAGGAGAGAGTGGTGAGGGAGGAGTGGGAAGCAGGAGGAAGAAGGCAGGAGAAGGGGTGGGGAAGGAGGAGGGAACGAGGGCAGAGGAGGAGTGAGGGAGGGAGAGAAGAACTAGGATGATGCGTGGGCGGAGACGGAGGGAGGATGAGGGAGCATGACGAGGGAGCAGGAGCGATGAGGAGCGGAAGGAGGAGGCGCGGCCCCTAACACATGCCCCTCCGTACGATACGAAGGCATCCAGGAATCTCAAAATCCCTTCGGATGAATCCTTCCACTCCCCTCGCCGTCCTCATCCTCCCTCCACAGACCTCCCACGTCCTGAACAAACGTATGCTGAATTGTCTTCTGTATAGTTTCGGAAGCTGGGGGGCCACGTGGGCCTGGGGCGGATGCAAAGCCAGTCCCTGCAGGGGTCGAAAGCTCCGGGTCGGAAGCTCTGGGGCCCGCGCTTTGAAAAAACAGGGCACCAGAAGTCTGACCACCTCCCAAGCGTTCATCACATCGCCACAAGACTTGCGGATGCCATGACAAACGACACCCTAACAATCCGATCATTGAACTAAAAGTGTGTTACACTTGGTTGAAACATGTTCTAAACATATGTAAGTTTCAAGCATAGTTTAAACATTTCTTTGACATCTGGAACGTATTTGGCAATATGCTTCCTCTCCATTGATCGTCGTCCACGACAGAAGACCACCTGAGCCCATGGGTATCTGTTCTATCCCAACTCATATTCGCAGCTGACACTACCCGTCGGTTGGAGGAGGCGGGTAGAAATGTGAAGTAGGAAGGCGTTGAAGTAGGTTGGGCTTCAGCCCGCCCCCTGAGGAGGAGGGAAGAGGGGAAACCATTCGACTCTTGAAGTAGGAAGGCGGCCTCACAAGGTCGGGACCTAGGAACCTAATTGTACCTCCTTCCACCGAGCAGCGTGCAACCGTCAGAGCACACGGAGCCTCGACGTGGAGGCGACATTCCCCAACCCTCGCCGTCGTCGTTGTCGTCTTTGTCAACGGCGCAGTCGCCGTCGTCGTCATCGTGGTCGTCCCCGTCGCCGCCGTCGTCGTCGTCGTCGCCGCCGGCCCTCGTCGCCGAACGTTACTGATCGGAAATGGACCGATCGAGGCCTTTCCGTGACTTCGGCCCATGAGGCCGCTATTGGGGCCCCTGGCCTACAAATATGCATGCATGCAGGCCAGAAGACTGCCACTGAAGAGTTGCCGAGGCTTACAGGACGCGTCGTCGTCGCCACCGCCGTCGGTCGTCGTTCGGCGTCGTCCACGTGGTCGTCGTCGTCGGTCGTCGTCGCCGTCGTTCGACCTCGTCGTCGTCGTCGGTCGTCTTCGTCGTCTGTCGTCGTCGTCGTCGTCGTCGTCGTCGTCGTCGTCGTCGTCATCGTCATCGCTCGTCGACGTTGTCGTCGTCGTCAGTCACCGTCTTCGCCTTCGTCGCCGTCGTCGCCGACGTCGTCGCTTGTAGTTCGACGGTCAACGGGGTTGGTGGTCGTCGTCGTCGTGCGTCGTCGTCGTCGTCCGTTGTCGTCGGACGTCGTCGTCGTTCGTCGTCGTCGTCCTCGCCACCGCCGTCGTCATCATCGTGGCCGTCTCCGTCGTCGTCGTCGTCGTCGTCGTCCGTCGTCGTCGTCGTTCGCGGTCCTTGCGGCTCGTCGTCGTCGACGTCGTCGTCCGTCATCTGTCGTGGTCGTCGTCGTTCGTCATCGTCGCTGTCGTCGTAATCAACCGTCGCCGTCGTCGTCCGTCGCAGTCGTCGTATTGGTCTGGTCCGTCGTGGTCGTCGACGTCATCGCCGTCGTCCGTCGTTGCCGTTGGTCGCGGTCGTCGTCGTCGACGTCGTCGTCGTCCGTCGTCGTCGTCGTAATCGCCGGGCGTGGTCGTCGTCGTCGTCGGTCATCGTCGTCGTTCCCGTGGTCGTCGTCCGTCGTCCTCGTCGTCGTGGTCGGTCGGTCGTCATCGTCGTCGTCGTCATCGTCGTCCACCGTCGTCGTCGGCATCGTCGGTCGTCGTCGTCGGTCGTCGTCTTCGTCGTGGTCGATCGTTCGTCGTCGTCGTCCGCCCTCGTCGTCGTCGTCGGTCGTCGTCGGACGTCGTCGTCGTCGGACGTCGTCGTCGTCGTCGTCGTCGGACGTCGTCGTCGTCGTCAGTGCTCGTCGTCGTCAACGTTGTCGTCGTCGGTTGTCGTCGGTCGTCGTCGGTCGTCGTCGCCGTCCTCGGTCGTCGTCGTTCGTCGTTGTCATCATCGTCGTCGTCGTGGTCGTCGGTCGTCATCGTCGTCGTCGTCAGTCGTCGGCGGCGGCGTTCGTCGTCGTCGTCATCGATCATCGCGGTCGTCGTCGTCGTCATCGGTCGTCGTCGTGGTCGTTTCCGTCGTCGTCGTCCCTGGTCGTCGTCGTCGCAGGTCGTCGACGTCGTCGTCCGTCGTCGTCGTCGTTGTCGCCATTCGTTGTCGTCGCCGTCATCTTCGTAATCGTCGTCGTCGGTCGCCGTCGTCGTCGGTCGCCCGTCGTCGTGATCGTCCGCCGTCGTCGTTAGCGACATCGTCGTCGACGTCGTAGTCGTCGTCGTCCGTCGTCGTCGTAGTCGTCGTCGTCTCAGTCGTCGTCGGGCATCGTTGTCGTCGACGTCGCCGTCGTCGTCGGTCGTCGCCGTTCGTCGTCGCCGTTCGTCGCGGTCGTCGTAGTCGTCCGTCGTCGTCGTCGCCGTTTGTATTTGGGGTCGGTCGTGGTTCGTCGTCGTAGTCGGTCGTCGGTCGTCGGCCGTCGTTCGGTGTCGTCGGTCGTCGTAGTGGCCCGCCGTCGACGTCGCCGTCGTCGTCGGCGTTGTCGTCCTCCGTCGTCGTCCGCCGTTGTCGTCGTCGTCGTCGTCGTCCGCCGTCGTCGTCGTCGTCGTCCGTCGTCGCCGTGTCGTCTGTCGTCGTCGTCGTGATCATCGTCCGTGGACGTCGTCGTCGTCGTCTTCGGTCGGCGTCGTCGTCGCCGTTCGTAGTGGGCGTCGTCTCCGTCGTCGTCGTCGTCGTCGTCGTCATCGTCATCGTCGTCCGTCGTCGTCGTCCTTTTTGTCGTCGTCCGTCGTCGTCGTCGCCGTTCGTGGCCGTCGTCGTCGTCGTCGTCGTCGGTCGTCGTCGCCGTTGTCGTCAACGTCGACGTCGGTCGTCGTCGTCGTCGTCGTCTTCGTCGTCGGTCGTCGTCGTGGTCGGTCTTCGTCGTGGTCGGTGTCCTTGGTCGTCGTTGTCGTCGGTCGTCGTAGTCGTCCGTCGTCGTCGTCGCCGTCGTCGTCGACGTCGCCGTCGTCGTCGTCGTCGTCGACGTCGTCGTCGTCGTTCGCCATCGTCGTCGTCGTCACCGTCCGTCGTCGTCGTGTCGTCGGTCGTCGACGTCGTCGTCGTCCATCGTCGTCGACGTCGTTGTCGTCGTCGTCGGTCGGCGTTGTCGGCGCCGATCGTAGTGGGCGTCGTCTCCGTCGTCGTCGTCCGTCGTCGTCGTCGTCGTCGTCGTCGTCCGTCGGCGTCGTCCTCGTCTGTCGTCGTCTGTTGTCGTCGCCGTCGTCGCCGTTCGTGGCGGTCGTCATCGTCGTCGTCGGTCGTCATCATCATCGTCGTCGTCGGTCGTCGTCGGTCGTCGTCGTCGTCTTCGTCGTCGTCATCATCGTCATCATCGCCGTGTTCGTCGGTCGCCATCATCATCGTCGTCGTCATCGTCAACGTCGTCGTCGGTCGGCGTCGGTCTTCGTCGTCGTCGTCGTCGTCGTCTTCGTCGTCGTCGTCCGTCGTCGTCGTCGGCCGTTGTCGTGGTCGTCCGTCGTCGTCGTCGTCGTCGTCGGTCCTCGTCGTCGTCGGTCGTCGACATCGTCGTCGGTCGTCGTCGTTGCTGTCGTCGTCGTCGTCAGCGGCATCGACCTCGTCGTCTCAGGGCGGCGGAGCCTCCTGCGAACGGCGATGGTCCCGGCGAGCGCCGGCCCCGTGCGCCTCGGCAAGGGCCTGGTGGCGCGCATGGCTTCGCCGGAGCCCCCCATAGCCCTTTCAGCGAGAGAGGAGGTCGAGCCCTCTGTGTGACAGGAGGCCTCCCAGATTGGGTCCGAGTGCAGTCGAGGTACTACCAGAAGGACCGCGAACTTCGCCAGCCCAACGGGCCACAGGCGTGGTAAACTCGGGTGTAAGAGCTTGAGAATGTTCCTAGTGCGCGCGCGCGTAGCGACCTCTGGGGGTCCGTGGACGAAAAGTACCCTGGCAAGGTCCCAGCAAGGTCCTGGCGAGGTCGGGTCAGAGATGCCCGAACTCCTGGGCGCGGCCTCGGGCCCCACCCGAGCGCTCCAATGAGGCGCCAAAAGGGTAGCACGCCCCACGGCCTCAGGCCAGGAGCGTCCCAAGATGGCCCACGTTGGTCCTAAGACGGCCCAAGAAGCGCCCACCAACACGCCCCATGAGGGCTCCAAGATGACTTCGAGAGGTCCCGCAAGCGCACTATATACTTTTTATTTATATATATATAATGTATGTACATATTACATACATACGTATATATATATATATATGTATATATAGATTATGCAAAAACATGGTTTTCGACAGATGTTGGCGGTACTGCTTCTTCGAGCTGCCGACCGACATGGACGGCTCAAGAGGCCCCAAGATCGATCCAAAACTGAACAAAAAGCCTCCAAGAGAGCCCCCAAATGGCCCAAGATGGCCTCAAGACGGCACAGGAGGCCTCCAAGACTGCCCCAGGATGGCCCCACGAGGGGGGCCCAGAGGGTGGGCCCGAGCAGACATAGCGAACTATCGACCCCAAGAGGCGCCGAGGAAGCCCCCAGAGGCCCCCAAGAGCTCCCCGAGAGGCCACAAGAGGCCCCCAAGATGCCCCCAAAGAGGACACCTAAAGCTCCAAAAAGCCCCCAGGATGCCCTAAGAGGCCCCCAAAAAGCCCCCAAGAAGCTTCCCGGAGGCTTCAAAATTGCTCCCTCGAGGCCCCCGAGAGCCCTCCGATGAGACCCCAAGAAGCGTCCATGAGAACTCTGATCCACAACCTAGGTACGTCTCGAAACTCTGCTGGAGCTCTCTTGAGCCATTTTGGCGCCCTGTGGGGCAGTCGATCGGCTCTCTTCGACAGGGTGTGAGTCGCATCTCCAAAGATCTCCTCGCGGACAGTCCTGCCTGTTCCACCGTTCCGCATGGTTATATGAGCACACCACCGTGCAGCCACCGTGGTGCGAAATGGGCCGGTGGAGTGAGCGAAGCGATTGAATAAGGAACGAAGCCCCATTTTCGCCCCTGAAGAGCCTAGAAGCATGAAAAGTGACTTAAGGAACAGCGAGCCCCTCCCGACTGCAGAAGACAACTTCGGCATCTTGACTGCAGAAGGGGTCGGAGGATCGCGCCCCATCGCCGATGTATCGCGCTGCATCGGCGACGACGGCAACGCATCGCAGCCGTCGGCGCGGAGAAAATCGGGCTCCAGGGTGCTGTTCCGCCCACCTGCCAGGAACTGCCCGACAGCACGGGGGGCTCGCCTCCAGCTCTCCGGGCAGGGGCAGGGGGGCGGCGACGGCTCACAGGCCGCAGGCACCGAGGCGCGCGCTCGGGGAAGGAGGACGCGCTTGGGGATCGAGACCTTCGGTGAGCGTACTGGAGCAGCTGTTTGGGCATCCGGGGGGTTCTGCAGAGTAGAGTCCAGCTGGAGACCACCACGCAGGGACCTCCTGCGGCCCCTGCTAGCTGGGGCCACTCCTGCCCGGGCATCCCTCGCGGCGAGCTGGAATCACGACTGCAGGTCTTCTCTGTTGGCCTCTGGCAGCCCAACGTCAGGCCCCGGGGACCATCAACAGCTACCTGGGCCGAAAAACGAGCCCTGGGGTCCCCAGGCTGGGGACCCCAGGGCCCGTTTTTCTGGAGCTCAAGACCCCTTGTCCTCAAGCTGGGGATGGGGTCTAGAGCTCCAGTGACCACCCATCAAGAGCGGAGACTCGTCGTTAGTCTGGGGATTTACTGCGCGATTCCATCGTGGCACGTCGTTGGCGGCGCAGAACTACCACGAGCAGGGCACAAGCGGGCGCGGCCCTCACGAGCGCGGCATGGCTGCCGCAACTATGTCCTCGACAAGGTCGGCATGATGGTCAACAGGTCCCGGGTCCCCGGGGGTGTGGGAATGACCTAAATGCGGGGTGAACGAAAGGTTTTCCGACGTCGCTTGCGACGGCGCCGTCGCCGCCGTCGCCTCCTTCTCCTCTTCTTCCTCCTCCTCCTCCTCATCCTCCTGTTAATTTTCCTCCTTATCCAACGCCTCCTCGTCGAATTGCTCCTTCTACTCTTTCTCCTCTTCATCACCATGATCATGACCATCATCATCATCAGCAGCAGCATCATCACCACCACCATGATCACCACCATCATCATCATCATCATCATCATCATCATCATCATCATCATCATCATCATCATCATCATCATCATCGTCATCATCATCATCGTCATCATCATGATCATCATCATCATGATGATCATCATCATCATCATCATCATCATCATCATCATCATGCACTGCATCAGCATCCACATCACCAGCATCCAGCAGCAGCATTCTCATCAGCATCATCAGCAGAACCAGCATCGGCATCAGCAGCAGCAACATCCTCCTCCTAGTCCTCCTCCTCCTCCCCATCCTCATCCTCATCAGCATCATCAGCATCATCAGCATTCTTATCATCAGAACCATCATCATCAGCATCATCATCAACAGTATCATCATCATCAGCAGCATCATCAGCAGCATCAACATCAGCATCAGCATCAGCATCAGCATCAGCATCGGCAACACCATCATCATCATCAGCATCATCATCACCATCACCATCACCATCACCATCACCATCACCATCGTCAGCATCAGCATCATCACCATCATCGTCATCATCATCATCATCGTCATCATCATCATGCACTGCATCAGCATCCACATCAACATCAGCATCAGCCTGAGCATCACCAACATCAACATCATCATGATCACCACCAGCAACATCACCATCACCAGCAGCAGCATTATCAGCATCATCATCAGCATCAGCAACAGCATCATCCTCCTACTCCTCCTCCGCATCCTCCTCCTCATCTTCATCGTCATCATCATCAGCATCAGCATCAGTATCAGCATCATCATGAACTGCATCATAATCATGAACTGCATCAGCATCCACATCATCAGCATCAGCCTCAGCATCCTAAGCATCAACATCATCACCACCACCATCATCAGCAGCCGCATTATCATCAGCATCATCAGCAGCACCAACATCGGCATCAGCAGCAGCAACATCCTCCTCCTAGTCCTCCTCCTCCTCCCCATCCTCATCCTCATCAGCATCATCAGCATCATCAGCATTCTTATCATCAGCACCATCATCATTGGCATCATCATCAACACTATCATCATCATCATCAGCAGCATCATCATCAGCAGCATCAACATCAGCATCAGCATCAGCATCAGCATCAGCATCAGCATCGGCAACACCATCATCATCATCATCATCATCAGCATCACCATCATCATCAGCATCAGCATCAGCATCAGCATCAGCATCATCAGCATCATCATGATCATCATCAACATCATGAATCCTCATCCACCCCCTGCTTCACCTCTCCAGTCGTCGTTCCCCCTTTCTCTCAGCCTCCCTCCCCCTCTCCCTCCTCCTCCTCCTCCTCGTACTCCTCCTCCTCCTCCTTCTCCTCCCTCCCCTCCTCCCTCCCCTCCCCTCCGCTTGCCCTGCTGGCGGCGCCTGCCGCGCCACCGCGTACGAGAGACTCCCACCGCGATTCGCGGCGAAGGCGCGCAGGTGTTCGGCGCTGCCAGGGAGGGGGGGGGGGGGGGGGGGGCGGTCGCCGGCACCGCCGCCGATTGTCGCCATCGTCCTCGTTCTCGTAGTCGTCGGCCGATGGGGAAGAGGGAGGAGGACCAGGAGAAGGGGGAGGAGACTGATGGGAAGAGGGGGGGGGGAAGCATCACGTGACTGAAGGCGAGATCTGTAAGCGAGCTTGGTCAGCCCCTCCCCCCTTACGAGCCTTCGCCTCAGCAACGGCGGGGTGTGGGAGGATGGGAGAAAGCTGATCAAGGATCGAGGCGAGCAGGGAGATGAAGGGAGGGGGGGGCTTCTTCTCCTATTACTCCTCCCTCATCCCTCCTTCTCCTCCCTCCTTCTCCATCTTCTACTCCGAGACATTGCGTTTCGTGGGCGCTTGCCTTGGACTGATGTTAGTTTGGACACGTGGGGACCGCCTCCCCCCCCCCCCCTAAAAAAAACATGTGGTACGCCCTGGGAACTGACTGGGGCTGGTTCGAACCGACCGCCATACCCCCCCCCCCCCCTGGTGCAAGGAAGGGTGATTCGAACCGGGGGGGGGGTGCCTCCCTGAATTGGAGAGAGGGGGGGTTCGAACCGGGCGCCCACCCCTCCCAGCGCAAGAGGGAGGGGGGGTTCGAACCGACCCCCCCTCCTCTGAATTGCAAGGACGACAGCAAGGACGACCGACGACAGCACACAACAGACGGCTAAGCACGGAACATCATCATTACAAAACTGTCAAACAAATCAGCCAGCGCAGATTCCAGATGAACCAGAAGGCTAACATACAGTGGAATGGAACGGACTGAAGTAGACTGGAAAGGAGTAGACTGGACTGGAGTGAACTCTACTCCACACTATTCTACTCTACTCTACTCGGTTATGCCCAATTCTACTCTACCACAGGCCCTATTTCTTTACTCCACTCTGCTTTACTGTGCCCTGCTTTACACTGGCCTGATGTACTCGAATCCACTCTACTCTACCTGCTTCCACTCTCATTATGCGTTGCTTATACTCGACTCTACCCCTAGTCTACTCTACTCGATTCAACTCTACTCTAATGTACTCGGTTGTTTCCTACTCGACTCTACTTCACCCTATTATACCCAACTCTACTCTGCCATCAACCCTGCTCTACTCTGCTCTGGGCGACTCTATCGTACGTTACTCGACCCTGTTATACCCTGCACTCACCTACTTGACTCTACACTGCTTCTCCACTCGACCCTACTCCAGTTCATACTCTACTTTACTATTCTACTCGACTCCCACTCTTTTCTGCTCTAGTATAATGTACTATGCTTCTTTCTGCTCTACTCGATGTTACGCTAGTATGCTAGACTCTACTCTAGCAATTACCCTACTCTACTTTACTCTACTCTACTCTGTTATACCTACCCTAATCTACTCTACTCTACCCAACCCTACCCCGCCCTCTCCTACTCTACACTACACTACACTATTCTACTCCACTCTACTCCGAATATTACTCTACTCGACTGTGCTCTAGTCTATCAGACTTTACTCTACAGTATGCCCTACTCTACTTTGATCTGTACTACTCTGCTCTACTCTACCCTACCCACCCTGGCTCTGTTTCCGAGGCGGTCCTAGCACCGAAGACCATCGGAACGTACTCCGTCGCCGTCGTCGTCGTCGTAGTCGTCGTCGGCGGCATCGTCGTCGTCTTACTCGTCGTCGGCGTCGGCGCCATCGTCGTCATCGTCGTCGCCGTCGCCGTCGCCATCGTCGCCGTCGCTGTCGTCGTCCTCGGCGTCACCGTCACCGTCCTCGTCATTGTCATCGAAGACGTCGGCGTCGTCACCGTCGTTGTCGTCGTCGTCGTCGTCGTCGTCGGTCGTCGGTCGTCGGTGTCATTGTCGTCGTCGTCGTCGTCGTCACTGTCACTGTCACCGTCTGCGTCGTCGTCGTCGTCGGTACCTTCGTAATCGTCGTCGACCAGCCACTGGCGAAGGGTCGGGGGAGCCAATTCGACCCCTCCCCTTGCAACTCTCAAGGAGAGGGGGGAAGGAAGCCCGGTTCGAATCCCCCCCGAGATTTGGACGCCCGCAATAGGTACGGACAAAATTGTACGGTACCCAACAACAAGTGTTGTCCAAAACCGACAGCGGCCGCTGCTGGGCAGGCGGCTGTCTGTCTCCAATGAAAACGTCCGCGGAGGCGCGTACCTTAAGTCCTGTTCAAAATGAACAGGAACTGCTGTCGGGCATCGTACTTATTCTTTCCGTACGCATGTCGATCGTCCCGACGAGAGGGGGCCCCCCCCTCCCGGTGCGAACCTGCCCGTTCGTCCACAAAACGCGCTCCTCCACTACTCTCGATCCTCGTGCCCCTATACTCCGCCCCCCCCTGGAAGAGGGACGAAGGAGGATTGAGGCTGAACATCGATCTCAGATTCCCGGCTCTCCTGTGTGGAAGACCCGCTTTGAATAAATCACGGCTGCTCCTTCCTCATCTCCTCCTGCCTCTTACCTTCTACCTGCCTCCTGAGTTGCCAGGTGCTGTTAATTGCTAACAGTTGCGCGGTTGTGGCAACTTCGTGAGCTCGCGAGGGGATCCGACAGAGTGTGCACCCAGGCTGACCTAAACAAGACCTCCCCTCCGTGTGGCTCCACCTGCCGAAATGCCGCCACTTTCGGGAGCGCCTGGGGTGTCCAATTGAGCGCAGAGTTACCAAGACCCCAGTGGTACGACGAAGTGCCTCCTTGCTTTCCTGCGTGAATGACCTTCCTCCACCTCCTCCTATTCGTGTTTGTCGGTTTCCCCCTACAGATGTTTTCGGGGCCACCCCATACAAGCCACAGACGGCGTGCACACAACACGTTCCCGTGCAGCTTCCAAACGAAACAGCATGCCTATTCCACTGCGCATCCCTCCCAGACGGGCCCGTTGGTATTAACGCAAGTCGTAGATAGGTTTGGCACTTTCCTGGTAAGTTCTCTTTTTTGGGGGTCAGGACAAGCACGAGGAGGAGAATGAGGGACCGACAACAACTTAAGGGAGAGGTTCCCTCCCCGTTCGCCATTCCTCATCAGTCCTCCCTCCCTCCTTCCATCGTGCCTCTTCACTCCAGCCTCCTCCCCCCTCCGCGTGCACTCTCAGGCGCGCAGGAGCGCAGGATGAGGAGGGGGCAAGGAAAAAGGAGGAGGAGAAGGATCGTTTACATCAACGACAAATGACAGCACCCAGATGGGGCAAGAAGAAAACGTCTCGACTGAAACCCCACTCTTCTTAGGGTGGAGGCCTTTGCCGAGCCGCCTCCGATTCCCGTTCTCGTGAGGCTCAGCGACAGGGTTGCGTGCAAGTGAAAGCTTGGCGAGTCGCTCACCTGAGGTGCAGCAACCACACCGACGATAGATGCACACAAAGAACTCGTTACTCCGTGCTAGATTCACAGAGCGATGGCCCAGGTCGCGCAAGGATCGCGGCTGGACCCTGAGGTGCCTGGTGCACCTTCCACTCGGCGACTTGGCGACAGCATGAGCATTGTCAAAAGGCGTGAGGCAGCATGTCGACTAACGCCCACTCGCGTGGCGGTGGCGGAGGGCCTGGCTCCACTCGGGGATTCGGCACGAGCTGGATTCTATCAAGACACGTGCGCGGCCAGAGAGGCCAAATATTGGCCTGGAGCCGAACCACAACTCTCGACACTGGGGAAACCAAGAATACCGATACCGCTGCTCCCCGGACTTCTCCCGGGGTGCGTTCTGACCAGGACATCGAGGCGGATCCAGCCTTGGCGACGAGGGCCTGCCAGGAGGCCCAAAAAGGGGAAAACGGGCGAGGGGGGTGAGGTATAGGTACCCATCGGTCGGAAGAAGCAGGTAGAACCATGAAGTAGGAAGGCGTTGAAAAAAATTGGGTGTCCGCCCGCCCCTTACAGAGGACGGACAATGTGAAGACACTCGATCATTGAAGTAGGATGGCGCTTAAAGTAGATTGGAATCTGGGACTCCGAAAATCTCTGCTTTAAACGACCGATGGGTACCCTTTCCTCCTCCGAATCTTGACCTCGAACCGAACCACAGCTCTCGACACTGCCGCTGCATGGGCCACGCGTTGATTTGCACCTCCTCGGAGGCCTCGGAACGCGAGGCGGCACCCGGCTTCGCCGCACTGCACAAGTTTTACCATCGGCGCCCATATAAAGCTCGTCGGCGCCAAATCCTCCGCCTCCTCCTCCTCCGCCTCCTCCTCCTTCCCCTCCCCCTCCCCCGGGGAGCACCGAACTCGAGATGAGCAGCAACCCTATCCACCCCAGGAACGCACCGTCGCCAAAGGCGTCATGGCCTGCAACGATACACCAGGATAACTACAGCATCGTATGCGAACACCGCTCAGGCCGAAGGAGACTCCAGAATCCCACCACGTCTGCGCAGTCAAAAGGGGAGGGGGAAGAGGATGAGCAGGAGGAGGTGGAGGAGGGAAAGGACGGCTAGGAGGAAAACGGAGAGGACCCACTCGGATGTAGCATTCTAGATCCCTCCACGATCACCGTGGACACCCGCTGCGCGTTTACATGTCCGTGTACATGTACGAATATATGATGCACGGACTCCTATGTGAGCCGTGCAGAATCCTGGTTCACTTTTGCAGCATGTATTGAAAACCTTATTCCGGCCAGCTTCGCGGCTCCACTGCATGGTCTGCACCCCCGCCGACGAGGCCACCTTCAACTCAACACCCACTAAGTCTACCGCACCCGTCTCCCGCACAACATCCACTACTCTAAAACATCCGCCCCCAACCCAAAACCCACGGCTCCTCGGCCTCCGCTGCAAATCGGTTCGATTAGGGGTTCGATGCGAACGTGCTCATATACGTGGATACGTGTGTGTACGTGTATAGAAATAATCACAAAACTGCATCGGCGCTTCGCGCCATGCACCTTGGTCCGGACTGCGCAGGCATACTGAGCGAGGTACGCCGGTCAAAACAGAAATCGTTTTTGGCGGCCGACGTCGCCATCAACGTGGTTAC